TCAAGCCTAATATACTCCCTCCCTCCCACCTTCCCCCCAGCCCCTCCAGCCTTCCCTCCCCTGACTTCCCAGAACCAATACACGATATAAATCTTTAACAAAAACAGTTTAAAATATGTTTCAAAAAAGAATAAGAAATTAATAACATCTTTAAATTGAACTTAGCTCCTCCTTGCTAGGCTAACACTAAACAATTTATATCCTTCCTAATCTTAATCATAGCGCTATCTGGAATTTCTTAGTTCCTGCCACTTTTTCCTTAACATCCCGCTACCAACCAGCTTTTTCACCCCAAAGAAGAAGAAGCGGGACGATGGGATGCGGGAACACGTCACCGGCTGCGCCCGCAGTGAAGGCTATTACAAAATCGACAAGAAGGATAAGCTGAAATACCTCAATAACAGCCGAGCGTTTGCAGAAGATCCTCCCACCGACACGCAGGTAAGGGGGCTTGTCCCCCCCCCCCCTCGGTGGGCTCTGACCCAAAAGGGGGAGTTTGGACTCGTCAGAGCAAGTTTGCCTGGGATTTGGTTGAGAAAACGAGAAAAAAAGGGAATGCTACACCAACGCAGGTGGCCTTTGACTTGCGACCACAACTGACCCCGTAATTTCTGTTGCTAAGCGAGACCCCCCTTTCTCACCACAGTTGTTGAGTGAATCCCTGTGGTTATGAAGTTAGTGACACGGTTGTTAAGGGAATCTGATGACCTTGAATGCCGCAAAAGGGGAATCACATGACCCCAGGGCATTGCGACCGTCGTAAATACGAGTCCGTCGCCAAGCAGCAGAATTCTGATCACAGAACCGTGGGGATGCTGCTGCTACGGCCGTAAGTGTGAGAAACAGTCACAAGGCGCATTTTTCAGCCCCCTCCCCCCCGTAGCTTTGAATGGTCGTGAAACGGACTGTTGTAAGTTGAGGACTTCCTTAATAACCCCTGCCTGACTCGGCAACAGAGATTTTGGGCTCGGCTGTGGCTGTAAGTCCCGGACTACCTGAGTGATCAGGCTCCCTTCCTCCCTGGAGGCAAAATCCCCCCCCCTCCCTGAGGTGACCCCTTTTGTCCCCCCACCAGGGAATGAGCATCCCTGCTCAGCTCCACGTTTCCACCCGGGCCGGCTCCGAGCGGAGATCAGAACAACGCAGGCTCCTCTCTTCCTTCACCGGCAGCTGCGATAGCGACTTGCTCAAATTCAACCAGCTCAAGGTGAGTTGTGTAGCCGCCCCCTCCCCACTCCCATCCCCGGGGGGACGAAAGTTCGATGGAAGCGGGACAGGGGAAGAAGGACTAGAGGGGGCAGAGCAGGGGTGAAATCCAGCAGGTTCTGACAGGTTCTGGAGAACTGGTAGCGGGAATTTTGAATAGTTCGGATAATCATTAGCGGGAATTTTGAATAGTTCAGAGAATCATTAGCGGGAATTTTGAATAGTTGGGAGAACCATTAGCGGGAATTTTGAATAGTTCATAGAACCGGTAGTGAAAATTTTGAGTAGTTTGGAGAACCATTAGTGAAAATTTTGAGTAGTTTGGAAAACTGGTAGCGGGAATTTTGAGTAGTTGGGAGAACCATTAGCGGGAATTTTGAATAATTCATAGAACCATTAGTGAAAATTTTGAGTAGTTTGGAAAACTGGTAGCGGGAATTTTGAGGAGTTGGGAGAACCATTAGCGGGAATTTTGAATAGTTCATAGAACCAGTAGTGAAAATTTTGAGGAGTTTGGTGAACTGGTAGCGGGAATTTTGAGTAGTTGGGAGAACCATTAGTGGGAATTTTGAGTAGTTTGGAGAACTGGTAGCGGGAATTTTGAGTATTTGGAAGAACCATTGGCGGGAATTTTGAATAGTTCATAGAACCGGTAGTGAAAATTTTGAGTAGTTTGGAAAACTGGTAGCGGGAATTTTGAGGAGTTGGGAGAACCATTAGTAAAAATTTTGAGTGGTTTGGAGAACTGATAGCGGGAATTTTGAGTAGTTGGGAGAACCATTAACGGGAATTTTGAATAGTTCAGAGAACCAGTAGTGAAAATTTTGAGTAGTTTGGAGAACCGGCAAATGCCACCTCTGGCTGGCCCCAGAGTGGGTAGGGAATGGGGATTTTGCAGTATCCTTCCCCTGCCACGCCCACCAGGCCACGCCCACCAGGCCACGCCCACAGAACCGGTAGTAAAAAAAAAAATGAATTTCCCCACAGGGGCAAAGGCCTGGCAGGTAGAAAAGAAAGCCCAAAACATACAAATCTCCCCAGTGCAGGACAGGATATTGTATAACTCTACTGCAGCCCAACAGCTTACAGGCAGTCCTCCCTTAGCGACCGCCTCATTTAGCAACAGTGACAAAAAAAGCAACTTTTGTCACTGTCCTCGCATTGACGACCTTCCGACCGGCCTGTAGAAACCGAGGAAAGCAAAGTTTGGAAACACGGTTGCGGTAGTTTCACTTTGCAAACCCATCGCTCAACGGCCCAAGCGGCCCGGCGGCGTTGCGGTCGCTAAAATGAGAGCCGCCAGCCATCGGCGAGAGCCCCCCAAAGCCGCCTTGCCTCTCCGTTTGGAGGGTTTAATCCGGGCCTGAGGTTTTGGCATTCCCGAGCCGAAGGAAGCCCTCAGGGGCCTGGATTCGTTTAGCGACCTCTGTCGTCTTCTGCCTCCGCTCTGCAGTTCCGGAAGAAGAAGCTGAAGTTCTGCAAGAGTCACATTCACGACTGGGGGCTCTTCGCCATGGAGCCCATCGCTGCCGACGAGATGGTGATCGAGTACGTGGGCCAAAACATCCGCCAGGTAAGCGGCCCCCGGAAGCTCCTGCTGCGCTCGGTAGCTCCGCCCATCCCAGTCGAACGTAAGAAACCCCGGAGCTGCAGGCGAGTGGAGGGTAGCGTCCCGTTTCTTCTTCCTTTGCTCTGAAGACCCTTTCAGGCTTTTGGTCCCCCGAGACCTCCTCTCTGCTGTGCCAGTGGTGAAGGGTCAGGGGGGGTCGGGTATCTGGCTGGCTCTGGGGATGCCCTGGCTTTTGTGGGGCTCTTTCAAATCCTGCTACCTTCATCAGCTGCCCTTTGGGATAAGTTCCATCAGCCCCTTTCTCTCCTTTGCCCCTTCCTTCCTTCTTTCCTTCCCATCTCTTTCTCCTTCCCTCCCTCCCTCCCATCTCTTTCTCCTTCCCTCCCTCCCTCCCATCTCTTTCTCCTTCCCTCCCTCCCTCCCATCTCTTTCTACTTC